AAAATTCTAGTTGCAATATTAAGCAGTACACAGCAGTGTGACTTTAATCAAAAGCCAAAATAACAAACATGTAAGTAATGCAAAATCTAATGGAGACAATGAGACCGAAAAGAAAAACATGAGACAAACCAAAGCAATCATATATAAGAAAAGCACAAGATCTTCCATGAAATTCCTTGTTTTAGATTCATTTTCTTTTCACGCCACCTTTGTTCCATGCCAAGTACTTATAAATATAAATATTAGGAAAGCACTCAAAGCAGTACATGCAATCCGGTCAAAAATAGAACCTGAGAATGAGAAAATCAAAGAACTTCAGTTTAACATAAAACTTCTAGATAACTTTCCATCCATCCTCTTTGATGACGACATTTTTTTTTTAAGCATATTCTAGGCAACAGTTGCAAACACTTCCCATATGCGTAGTTTAACCAAGAGGACAACCATGAAAACTAACATATAACTATATAAGTATCAACATTTGATATTTTCTAACAAGCAAGACAAATTTACTGAAAGCTTTGGCTATTTTTAGCATCATTGTTGTTTTTTATTTTAATTTTAACTATATTTATGAACAAATACTACATATATAGTAATTCAGATCCCTAAATATAGTATTAGCTGTTAAATTTGAAAGAATCATAACTAAAAACCAGAAACAACAACGATACCAAATGAAACCTTGTAATGAAGTAAAAATTTGAGAGTAGAGATATCTAATCAGACCTTATTTGTAATAGGACCTTGTGCGAGGTAAGGTTTTTCATTACGTAAATGGTGGAATCCATAAGCAACTTGAGCATCCATTCCTGTTTGAAAAATCATAAAATAAAAATATAAGCTTTTTAAGTCCAACAATAAACAACGACTAAAAATGTTTTCAAACATTATAATTTTGAAGTATTTTTTCCAACCTTTTGCAGCTAATGATTTACAAACTGCTTTCTCTTGCAAAATTTTCTTTTGTTTTAAGAGTATTTTGTTTGCGTTAGTGTAAAAAGTTGAGCATAAAAAGAAAATCCCAGGATTGGGGGAGTATAAATTTCTTAAGAATTTGGACATCTACATTCTGCAGAAGTTTGATCTTTAGCAAGTAATCTGAGATGAGGTTGGACATCCATGAACTAAAGGATTGCTTGGGAAAGCAACAAAATTTTTTTTTCATCATAGCAGTTAATAGCATCTCCACTTAAGAATTGGGTATTATGCGCAGATAGCATGCTGAAATAAGCATTAAGCTCCTATTATCACGGTACAGTTCCCACCAAGTCTACTTTCTTTGGCTTGAAGCCTGAATAACCCAGATAGAGAAGTAAGACCGCCATACCTATGCTAAAGTAATTATAGAATACTCCTTCATAGCAATTCACTTTGTCAGGCAACTCTCCTTCAATTTCCAAACCCTGCAATCATATACAAGTCTTGACGATCTAAATACAAAATTTTATATTATAAGATCACCATGGTCTTCATGAGAAAATTATGCATAATAATGACCAATGTTATATACTTCAAATCTTTGTAAATTTGATTCATGAACATTCAAGAACAGCAATGTCCCACCTAGGGACGTCAATCACATGACTTTACATCATCTTTTACAGGTTTGACTGGTAATCCATGCAGTACGAGGAATGAAAAGTATAGGCAGAGCAATGCAGTTATTGAAACATTCACAAAGTTTATTTTTAAGCTTAAAAGTCCAAACGGTTCTCAATAACAAGGCCAATATTCACGAGCCAGCCTAATCAAACTTAGACCATTTAAGCATTAATCTCTAAATGTCTGTGAATGACCATGAAAGAGAATTTGACTAAAAAATCAGCAGGACTCAAAGTAACATGATTGACAACCTGATCAAGAGAACACTCTCCAGTTGGCTTCAGAGAATGGGGAGGATTAACAAGTTCTCCAGAAGGCATTTGCACCGTAAGATGCCAGCTGCATCATCAT